AAGAAATTGAACAAAACCGAAAAATAAGTAGAAAGTACGACACAATTTACTAAGATAATCCTTTTTTTATTTAAATTTTTTTTTTTTATGTAATTCAGTTTAAAATATTCAAAAAGAGTTGAAATTTTAAACAATTTCAGAAAACTTGTTATTACATTTTCTAGACGTGATCAATTTTTCAGACATTTGAGTGTGTATTTTTCTATATAGTCTAATTTTTTCGGACTATCGCTTAATTTCTCTAAGTTTCAGGTTTTTACTTTTGGTAGGATGAAATCGCCTTTATTATGTCTTTATTGCCTGGGTGAAAACAATATACTGCGAGTATATGTCGATTATGTCGCGGACCTCGGCTTCAAATTAAGTTATAAACTTGAATCTTGATCTTAGTTCTCACATTGAATACTCATATGAGTAAGTAGAGAATTCAATCCCGCGATCCCGAACTTTTTTGCTCTCGAAAATTCCGGGATTGACAAATACGGTGCTCGTCATAACCGCACACTTTTAAAAAAGGTCGTCGTTCAAAACGGCACACTTTTTTATACAGTTTTCTCAAACTGATACCATTCAATACTGCACACATTTTACTTTGTGTCCTATCGTACGTGCTTTTGCGAAATAAATCAAGGGTTGTTTTCGATTAAAATTGTCCTAGTATGCGCAGCGAGCGTGTGACCACATTGAGTCTCTAATTCCACCTATAATGCTTTTCACTGCCAATCAAATGTGTGCGGTTTTGAATTAACGACCGTCCAAATTTCCATTATTAATAATAGACAAAACATGTGCGAAATTGAACGATGTACAATGTGCGGTTAAAAACGGTTTTGAACAACACTCGACAAATAAATAATCCCGGGATTTTCGGGATTATTCAATAATAAATACATAATAGAAAAGCAATACTTACTTTTATAATCAGTGATTCCATACTAAAAATATAAAAAAAAAAAAAAACTATTTTTCAACACTGACACGCAGAAGTGAGAACACACAAGCTGTATTATAGTTGGTTATAGACGTAAATAACATCAAATTGATCCCGTATAGTCAGACCAAAAATTTATTTGATCACACTTGGGAGGAAGGTATTGTATAAATTTCGCGGTTGTTGTTACAAATTTGTATAAATTGTGTAACAAATTTTGGTATCGGTTTCGAAGTCTCTACTATAGAGACTAACTATAAAGAGAACAAAATGGCTTCTAATCAACAAGGTGAGCTTATATTTTATAAAAATTATAGTTTTTAATTAAATAAATTAAGGCGGAGCTAGGGTGAGTTCAAAAATACTAATACAATAATTACTTTGTGTTTTTCTATGTATTAAGATTAAGTTTCATTGAAAATACACTATAATGAATTCATTTCGTGAAAAAAAAAATCTTGTCTACTTAAAATATCAATTTCTCCCACTGAGCGAAGTAAGTTAGTAAATAGACTATTTAAGTAAAATTAATACTCTAGATCAGCAGCTGCATACATAGGAAATAAACTGATAAACAGACTCGGAGACGTGACATTAAATGATCTGATTTTCCTTCAATCATACTTTCAAAATATTTTCATTAAATAAAACATTTTTTCTATTTTCTATTTATTATTCATATTTTTTGTCTGTAATACATAATATTAAATCGTTATAATTGTATATATGTATAATAAAATGAAAAATTAATTTTCACATCTCGGGATCCCGGGATTGGTTTCGAAAAATCCCGAAATCCCAGGATTGTCAGAGTATTTTGGGATTGTATCCTCTAATTGTAAGTCATTTAGACATTTAGACATAGCAATTGTAAGGACTTTCAGTTTGATATGTCTGTCAAAGCGTTATATTATGCCCTTGTTTGCCCAGTATTCGAATATGGCTGTGTTGTCTGGAATGGATCTCCATACAGCTAACGATTCAAGCCAGCAGGAGCGAGTCCGACGTAAGTTTTTGCGTTTTGCAAGTTATAGATTCAAAATTGCTTGTCCTTCATATGACTATACCCGTATAGCTAACATACTCGGGCTATCTTATTTAGCTAAACGAAGAAATACTACGGGTATTAAATTCATTGAAAGGTTATTGAATGGTAAAATCTAATCATCTGCAATTTTATCTTTAATTTGTTTTAAGACACCTCTGGGTTCAACCCGATTCACTGATCCTTTTTACGTTCTATATGCCACCAACAATTACTTTGCAAACGAGCCACTAAGGCGATTAATGTGAAAAGTCATTGCGGATCCCAATTTCACAATCTATTGATATATAATAGTTATATTCGTTTTTTTGTATTTCTGAACTTTTGTTGCTATTGTACACGTCTGATCTATTGTAAACGTAAATATAAACTGTGTGTTGTATCTATGTAAAAAAAGGGCCTGTCCGTAAAAATATATAAAATTAAATAATATATATTCATTATTATCATCCACTCAAATTGTACACACGAAATAATATATTATAGTGATAGTTGTCTTCCATTTAGTTATTTATTTTTCAAGTATTTTAAATTTGTATCCTGTAAATTGGAAAACAAGGTATGATATTAATGTATTACACAAGTTGAAAATTTAACTATGACGTGTTTTTATTTAAATTTATTTGTTTTTTATACACCTACTACAACATTAAAATTAGAGTAAATACATCTCTCAGTTGGGTATAATCAATTGAAACCAATTAAACTGTAGGCGACAGACAATGTCAAGCTCAGCTTAATTTGTCCTTTATTGTTTTAATAGTTATACTATTCTACTTGTTGTTTCCTAATAAAAAAAATTAAAAAAAAAACACTATCTATAGTCTATCTATACATTTTTATTATAGGTTCTCATTTGAAAAACCAAAACAAATATCCTAACAGGATACTCATTAAATTTTAAGAAAAATTTAAGTATACAAATAAATCGTCTTAAACTACACTTCAAAATTCCCATTTCAGAAGTTGCATTTATGCATAATTTGTTTCTTAATGTGGGGTGAACATGTTTAATGAGTCACCTTGTATAATATATATGACTTTCAAATTTTGAATTTCACCCTCGACAGGAAAATCATTGACGATTTGATTTTTTAAAATATAATATAATCACAGTTCTGTGATTTCTTTTATACTGGTTGTGTTTTCAATTTAGTGCGCTCTTAATTCTTATCTTTATTTTACAACATTTCGTAGTTAACCTGTTATAAAGTTCAATCGGTCATATGTTATCGCGTCTTTTGGTAAACTCGACCAATATTTTACTCTACATAAATTACCATAGTCGCGAATAGGGGGGTTTTAGGGGCTTTAATAGCCCCTCCCTCCCAAAAAAAAACACTGTCAAAGATTTTTTATATTTATTGAATTTTTGAATAGTTTATGATTTAGTGAAAAACATTCGTTTTTAATTAATTACTGAATAGACCATTGCAAAAACAACCGAAAATACTGAAATTACAAGCATAAATAGCACTTCCTTCAATTTAGATTTAGGCGATTTGAACACAGGTCCAAAGCAGCCAATATTAGGTAAGGAATCTACCCAGTGATTTATAAATTCCACAATACTGAGTAAACAATCTAACAAAACGCAGCCTGGTGGACAAAAATATTACTAGCCGATGTGGGACTGATAAACACAGAATACACGTGGATAAACGTAAAACAGTTTTTTTTTTTTAATGAAGCTTTTGTTTAATTTAAATATTTTTGGTTATAAAATACAAGGTATTGAATTAAGTTTGAACATTTTTTTAGTATTTGAACTAGTGGGTTAGTGTTTAACTGATTATTTTTATTCACTTTTTCTGTTATGACATTTTTTAATGTATCTTCATCAGCTCTCCATACATGTCCTAACCGGTCTAAGCGTTTGCATCTTATGTATGTAAGTATATTGGATTTGCTATATAGATCATATAGTTCTTTGTTGTGTTTTTTTCCATAAATACCTCGTTCCTCATTGTACTTCGGTCCATGTATATTTCTTAAAAATACTATTTAATACTGTTTAATACTTAATACCGTTTACTTATATATGTATTAAGTATGGCACTATTAAGAATAAGCAGAATTTATTGTGAGGTTTTTGGTTACAAAACATTTTACTTAATCAATTCAAATATTAGTTTCCATGTAAAACATTACCCGAGGAAAAAGAAACAAAAATTTTATAAATTAAAAAAACCTGGAAAAAAAAATTAAAGGTGATAGATATTTTTATTAACTATATTAATTGAACATTTGTAGTAAAATTTTCAAAATACTTGAGCCATTTTTAGACTATTTATTTTACGAGAGAGGGATTACGCATAATTTAAAATTATATGCATAAGAAATACATTTTTCATTTATTAAGTATATTTTCAAAAATAACAGGCATTAATAATATTGTCAGGAATTGCGCACAATTTAAAATTGTATACAAATAAGAACAAATTATTTTAAATTTAATAATAATTTATTATATTTTTATTTTGTTTACACCTTTTTTTTGAAAAATAAATCAATAATAATAAATGCGTCGAAATGTGCCATTATCTCGGATCAAAATTAGCGCGTCCATTTGACGCGCGTCGAAATTACCGCGTTGAAATGACGCGATATCGATAAAAACACAAACACCATAGTTGCTGAACTTGTGTCTTCCGATATGAAGAAAGATTTTCTAAGAAAAGTAAAATCAATGAGACTTAATGCTAGCATTATTTATAAAACTTGGTTGACGAACACAAAAATGTATATAAATGAAAGACTTAACAAAAATCGAAGAACATTATTTTCATTATTTAAAAGTGATATCTGCGTGCAAAGAAACAGGTTATAAATATGTTTGGACGAATAACGCTGAAATATAGGTTGAGAAGAATGATGGAGGAAAAACTTTTAGAATCAAGTCTGATAACGATATCATTTAATTGTAAGTTTTTTATTTTCTGTTTATTTGGATTTTCTTTTTCCTGAATAATTTGTATGTAATTAAAAGTATTTATAATTTGTATACATAAAATCCTTTTTAATATGAAATCCAACACTTCAAAAGATATTAATTCACTTAATAATACCATATTTATAGATAAACTTAATGGTTTATCTAAATATAACCTAAATAATAATTTGTCTAGTTTTTCAATCAACATACGTAGTATACGATTACATTTCAACGAATTAGTACTGTTATTAAACGCTAATGCTATTTCCCTGGACAGACAAAGCAGTTTCAAAGGTCAGGGTGGGCTCCCAACAACGGCGGGCAACCGTCCTAGTGGAAGAAAAATCACGAACATAAACCCCCTGGTAGTAGAACTCAAATGCAAAGGAACACCACCCGCCAAACCTAAAATGAGTAGTGAGCCTACAAATTTTCAAGCTAACGTCTCAGTAATATCGGATGGTACAGGGGACGTCAGGGAGGGCGGAGGCTCCAGTAGCCCGGTCCTCTTTGACGCCACACATAGGGCGATGCGAAGTGGAGGCCTCACACAATCAACAACACAAACCCAAAAAGAACAAGGAATCGGAAATTATTGAAGCTAATGGAAATGAAAATTTGCAGACTTCCGAGGACTCTAAGAAGATAACCCTATGAGAAACTGAACTCGTTATCATCAACGTCAAGCAGAATCCCTTTCAACACGGGGAAGCTAACGAACCTGGTTAAGCAGCAAACGCCATTTTGAACACTCTTTTTAAGGAAATCGACTCTTTAGTAGCTCTCAGAGGTATAGTTATACCTATCTAGTTAGATCGGAAAAAAATCGAAAATTCAATTAGTAACCTAGAGGAGCTGGTAGCTCACCTGCACGCTAACAGGTCACCTCTTTATGAAGCCTGAGACCAAAACTTTAGTGGTAGCCCAACAGGAATCCCCAGAGGGTAGCCCGGTGACAGTTAAAAAAAGAGGCTCGACAACCAGGATGCGAAAATGGTCGGCATCCTGGCGAGGCTGGATAAATTCCTCAAATTTCCTCCGGACAAAAAGGAGAGGAAACTTCATCTATCCTCCACCACAGAGGAAACAACATTTGTAGAAGGTGCACAGAATAAAAATATTCAGTATTCCAATAAATGATAAAAATGGTATAATCAATAAGTAAGGAAATATAAAATAAATTGTACATAAATAATTTAAAATAGACATATAAATAAAAATAAATTCAATCGCCGTGGTCAGATTTGCCTCACGTCATATTTGCCTGGGCTTACAGGCGAATATGACACCGGGCTATCTAGTGAGTTAGCTCACTGAAGTCACATTCGCCTATTACACCAGCTCACGGATGGACTGGTACAAAGCTAAATTCCTCGTCCAGAATCCGCTCGATGTCAGATCGTCATCAACGAGACACATGTTAACCCTATGGCAGACAAGACGGGACGAGGCTACGGCGGGAAGATGGACTCACCGCCTCATCGGTAATGTTAAAGACTGGGTAATTCGCAAGCAGGGCGAAATCGATTATCACCTCACGCAAGCGCTTACTGAACACTTTTTGGAGTACCTCCATCTCTTCGGGAAACTTGACTTCCCTAGTTCTTTTGGGACATTCTCCAATGATGCGCTCCGTACCGTATTCCAGTGCGACGTCTGGCATGCCGAACGTTTCCGCCTGTCTTGCCTCCTGAGCAGAGATTTCAGTCCGGAATCAATGCTATGCTATCATCCAAGAATAACTGGCTGTACGTCTCCAACTTCATTAACAACGTCTTGAGAAAGAAGGAAGACGAGCAGAGGACCAGACAGCGCATCATTGGGCCGTAATCCAACATACAGACCAACAATCTAGCAACAAACAGATTAATACTTTTATCAAATATTATTATATTCCCAATTTTTTATTTTATTAGATTTGATTATATTTGTTAAATATTACTGTACGAGCGAGCAAAAGGGGCATGTCTCTCCAACAGACTCATCAACAATGTAATTTTTTTTTCAATTCATTAAACAATGATGGCTGAGGTGAATGATTAACGTCCGTACCACCCCCCAGTCCTCGATACCACTTGTAAAATTAAAAAAAAAAAAAAATACTAATAATATAAATTTTGATATAATTGTTCTGAGTGAGACCTGGCTAGATTATGACTTACATGTTTACTAAATGGTTATCAAACAATTAATTCTATTGTAAAGTTAAATAAAAGAAAAGGTTATCGACGAATAAATCCGTCGGCGAAAAGGCTTAAAATAAAATTATTTGTTACGTTCAAATGCACGTTTTGATATCCGAGAATTGTTACGAAATTCTTCGTCGGACAACCAATATACTGTCTGTTGACGAATAAGGACTGGCTCTATCATTAACTGTCTACAGTCATGTCGTTCACCGTTAAATAAAAACAAAAATTTAGTCGTAGTAGTACAAGGTACGTTGCATAAATTACCAACAGTCATGGGATGGCCACGGTAGGTAAACCGATAATAATGAAAACAATCAATGTTAACAACTCTGAAAGATAACCAAATCGAATATATACAAGAAATGATTCAACAACGACGCTTTCCGACGTATCGTAGTTGGCATACTTCGAGAGAGCCAAGTACGCAACAGTACGCGACGTATGCTAAGGAAGAATTTTAGTGGAATAGCACTATGCCAAGAACGTAAACTAGATAAGCGCGTACTTGGCGCAGTTTCACGAGCAGAATAGACTCCTTTTAGCGAAATAATATGGCAAGTGATTTTTAGAAACTTCCTAATGGATTAACATTGTTGGTCGTCCGAAGAGATTTCCCAATAATTGATCCCGAAGAAGTCCTTGATGTACCGGCTCAAAAATCCAGAAAAACCGTTATCATTTTGGAAATTCGACATTTCGATCGAAAAACAACAATATGTATGTTGTTTTTATATGAGAAAGGGAGTGTGCGGGGACTTAGCCCCCCCCCCCTCCCGCACGTTTCACGTTTTAATACATTTTCATATGTCCTCCCGTCCGACCGAAATCCCGAGAACGCACCGGATCGTAATTGACAACGAAATTACGACCGTTTTGTAGACCGTACGGTCTAACCGGCTGGCTATTATCACAGCATAATATTATTGTTCGGTCGTCCGCACAACGTTTCCGTAAACACTCTACTCCGTACGGTTTCGGATTATTATTTTGCGTACGTACGCGAACGAGTGCTCGACTTTACGTACGATAACAACAACAACAATAATAATACATTAACGTTTGTGCGTTACCGTCGTATCGATTGCGGCCGGCCGCGGCAAACTCGGTCCGTCGCCGTCCCCGTAAAAACAATTTCATTGTTATCGTTATCGGCGCGTCGGCCGTTGGGATTTCGCGCGATCGCCCGCAAAACAAACGAAACGCGTAGCCGTCGAAATGTCCGTCAAATTGCAGTCGTCGGCCGGCGCCGCGGTACCGGTAAATCGGCCGCCGTCGACGTCGTGGTGGACGGCGCGCTTCCTGGACAAACCGGAAAACGCATTTCTGTGCGCCGTCGACGAGTCGTTCGTCCGGGACCGGTTCAACTTGATCGGCCTGGAAGACGCGATCCCGGGTTTCGACGCGGCCGTCCGGCACGTGCTGGGCGAAACGCGGACGGACGGCGGCGGCGGCGCCGTCGTCGACAAGACTTCCGGCGGCCACAGGAACGCCTGCGGACAGGAGGCCGCGGCTGAACTGTTCTACGGGATGGCGCACGCCCGGTACGTGATGACGCCGACGGGCGTCGCGAAAATGTTCGAGAAATACTTGGCCGGCTGTTTCGGCCACTGTCCCCGGGTCAATTGCGACCGTTCGCCCGTCTTGCCCATTGGTGCGTAATAGTAATAATCAACACGATGATAATATTGAATAACGTCTGCGGGCCCGGTGCCGTGCGCAGAGGACGGTAGGTTAAGGATTATACATCCCCCCCCCCCCATTGGCATGAAAATACAAAAAAATGTGCGTGATCGTCAATATCCAAACGCATATATTTCAGCCGAGGAAATAGGTACGAGGATAAACCGGTTCGATGTATTGATTAGAAATTGGCGTCCGGTTTTTAAATTACCAATTCCCGTTGTCGAGTTGAGTAGAGAAGTCGATTTTACGGATTATTCGCGATTTTTATTTGCTACATCCCATCCCATTGAAAGTTCCTGGACACTCCACCGGACGGATCACCGGCCGCTATAATCGAATGTTATTAATTTCAGCGTTTCTGCAAACTACTATGGAGAAGGGTGGAGGGGGAACCAAGTGGATCGCTTGTAAAGCGACCGGCAAGACGAACGAAAAGCCAGATGAATTTAATAAAACTACGCGCTAAATTCTAATTTTTCTGTTATCGTTTGTTCAAAAGTTTTTTTTTCGTGTTAAAGTCGTGTTTCGTCAGTTTCCATTGTCATTTACGTGTCCGCTGTTTTGAAGTCTACGACAGTGTACACGTCTGTAACTAACATAAAGTTAGTTATACGGATTTATTTATCTTTAGATTCTGAACGGAATATGGAATGTATTGATTTTACAATTGTGTTAATTTTTTTTTCTTCTGTAGAGAACTTTCTACCAGCAATTATATATAATATTAACAGTACTTTTTCTGAAAGTAAGCTGGACTAGAGAGATACTTTGAAGAGGCTATTTTTTCGATATTCCCAGAATTTTTCCCAATGAATGGGAAAAACCATGAAAAACGGAAAAATAGGTACAATATTGAACAAATACTGTTAAAGAAAATATCTTATGCATATGCAATTATTTTATACCATAGTATAACATGTATAATATATGTTGATGACAACGCAACACTGTCAACCGAACTCCGCTCAGAATCGTATTTCCGTTAGCAATGGTTAATCGTTGCTTACAGATGATAATAATAATAATATATTTTATTTCATTTCCTATTTTTACACAATAATAGGATCGACAATTAGATATGAAATGATAATGTCTCCTAAAAGCAATGCTTGCGGAGTTCTATACTAAAATATACACCGTAAAAACTTTAAAAAAAAAAAAAAAAAATACACATAACGGGGTTCACGGTATCGATCACAATTTTCGGGCCGTTCACTCGTCGTATCAGACGGTGTTCCCGAACTGCCGTAAATCCACCGAGCAGTCCGCCGGACTGGCAGGCGGATTTTGGAACGCGCGTAGTTTTCGGTAATTTTTATGTGTTAACGCGGTTCGCGCGATTGACTCGAGCCCGCCTTCCCCGGGACACCGGGGTTAACGGATAACTGTGCGCGAGCGATACTTAGTGGTCGAACCGTCCGCGGAACAAGTCGCGCGGCGCCTAAAAAGAGACGCGCGGATCGCCCCCCCCCTTCGCCGCTCGTCGACTTCTTGTTAACAACTGTTAATTTTGACGTCCGCTAAAACGTACGAAACCAATGATAATTGTAACCGGAACGTCGAACGTCGGTCCGCGTTGGTCCACGTCGTCGCGTACACAAAATACGTATTACGCGTCGTAATGACGGCTGCGTTGTATTGTGAAACCCGGCTCCGTCACGTTTTCTGCGCCACGCGCCATAACGACCCCGCGCGCCCGCGGCCAATCACAGCGCGATGTTCCGTTTCCGTCAGCGTCGCGTGTACCCCCCCCCCCGCTCCCCGGCCGGCATCCGCTTTACCGTCGCGCGCATAATAATGACATTGTAATAATATTGAACATCGCGCGCGCGCCCTCGTCCCGTTGCCGCGTTATAGGCGTCGGTTATTCGAACAGACGCGCGTAACGCATTATCGCGTACGTATTTGCACATGTGTGTTATTATTTGTGTGGGTATTATTTTTGATTGTTTTGAAGTTTCGGATTCTGAATAAATATTTGCTCCGCCTCGTACAAAACGCCCGGACAGAAAGCCATATCTGTCCTCCTGTCAATCCGCGTACGAGTTAGCTTAACGGTTTCACGCGTGGTGTAATGAAATACGCAAAGAATGTAAATTTCTTTCGCTAAAATACAACCCTCGACGGTTTGTCCACCTCGCGCGAGTGACGCCGTGGCTAAAGTCTTGCGTAGACATCAAATATGAGTGGTTACTAAAAAAAAATCGCTAAACGACACAAGCGGATACCCACATAACACGGTGTCACCGTCCGATAACGCTGATTTGAATAAACCGCCTCAAACCGGCGTGCGGAACCTTCGCTATCCCAGGTCAGTTGCACGCCCGGTTTTGAACGGTCCGTATGCCGACGAACCGTATCGCTTTGTATAAATACATTTTTAAACGCGTAAATTGCGATTGATTTTCGAAGCCCCTAGAATAGGAGAGCCGTGTGCCGCCTGCCGGTATATTATAGTGACGAAACTGTGCCGCTCGCGGTTGTTTTATGGTTTTTTTTTTTATTTTTATTTTTAATTTTTTTTTTTTTATTATTATTTACCGTTTCAGGACTCAGCGACGCGGTGGGAATCGACACGGTGCGGATTTACTGTCCCCGATGCATGGACGTGTACTGGCCTCCGGCCGGGCTGAACGGGTCGTCCGTAGACGGCGCGTACATCGGCACGGGATTCCCGCACATGGCGTTCATGACCCAACCGGAGTTAAGGCCCGCGCGGCCGAGGGGCCGATTCGCGGCCAAGCTTTACGGGTTCACCGTGCACAAGTCGGCCGGCGACCTGCAGCGGTTAGCGGCCGCCGAGCGCAAAGGCGGTGCGAACTCGAATTGCGTGGACAAGACCAAAGACGGACCACCGCGCCGGTGCGGTGTTCAACAAAACACCGCTGTTGCTTGAAGATGCGCCTGTACGATAATAACACAGCAGTAGGGATATCGTGCCATCGCGGATGATCGATTTTAAAGTCGCTGGAAAATCTCAAAAAAAAAAAAAATAATTAATAAATAATAAACTACGTTATTTTTTTTTTTTTTATTATGTGCATAATATAATACGTATATTGTAACAGTATAACAATACGTTTTGATAGTGAACCCCGTTTAACCCGTGTCGAAAATCGCACGATCCATCATAATGATGGAAACTCGTTCCGTTTCAACTACTATAATATGGAAACTCTCAGATGCTTCAAACTCTAACCTCAAAAAATATATTCATAGATAACCGTTAAATGCCCGCTAGGTTTCGCAATGACAGTTTTGACAATTTCTTAGCCTAAGTTACATAAGATAAATGCGTTTTGGATTTCTTTTATTGTGTCTACATAAAAATCGTTTCACAGGTTTTTTTTTTTTTGTCGTTTATTGACAAATGTGATTTTCGAAACCTGGCAGTTTTGATTATACTCGAGTAATGTACGAAAAATCGAGAAAAAAAAATCAATATTAAAACAAATTGTCAAACTATCTTTTTTATAAAAAAAATCGTACTAAGAAAGATTAAAAATAAAAAAAGATAGGATGAAATTTGCACAATGGGTGGGGACAAAGCTGTAAGTGAGAATTCGGGAATGTAGGATTTAGAAGGGAATTTAATTTATATATAAACCCAACTATGAACCATTGCTAGGTAATGAAACACGATTCAGAGCTAGTTTCTTTTATACACTTTTGTACATTTTCCCATTTTCCGCAAATTTTTCCCAATTATTATGGAAACCGCTTAAGAAATCAAAAATTACACTTGAAAATCGGAGCAAGATTTCTGATATAAAACGAGCTCAAAATATATACTGGAGATGGTAAATAAGTATTACCCATTAATGAACCAAAATTTTATCGGTATAATAAAACATAAAATAGAGACCTAGTATAATTTATTAATATATATGTTAACATTAAACATAAAACTTATTAAATTCTTCTTGTTCTCTTTCGCCTATATTTCAATTATTTGGGACCATTCGAAACTTGACCCGATCCCCATCATCATTCTTGATACGTCCGACATCCTTATATTCTCAATCGCATCGGACTACCTCATTTTAGGTTTTCCTCTCCCACTATTTCCCCCTCCATACTACTTTTAGTGCAATTCTTACTGCTTCTGATTCCTCTATTTTCACGACTTGCCCAAACCATCTTAATCTGTTTTCTCTCATTTAATTTGTCCACCATCGAAGCCACACCTAAGTTACCTCTTATATACTATTTTTTTATTTTAACTTCTCTCGTCATTCCACTCATCAGACTGAGCATCCTCATCCCTATTACACTCATTCTCGGTTTTTTTTCTCTCTACCGTCGAAAACTCTAAATTATACAACATAGACGGTCTCACCACTCTCACCACAATCTTAAAGAACTTACATATAAATCTCACTTTGTCACATAAAATATTCGATGCTTCTTTCCACTTTATCTAACTACACTGAATCCTATGTTTTACACCTTCATCAAAGTTACCGTTCTTTTGAATAAAAAATCCTTTGTACTTATAATTCTCAACCTCGCCTTGCTATTACGCCACCGCTTATTATCATTAACTGTCTTGTCCTGTTCCTCCAAACTCATTTCATACACTTTATTTCACTTCCACTTATTTTTAATCCTTTTCCTTTACATGCTACTCTTCAGACCCTATTACTTAAACCTATTGTTAACTTCTTTCAGATTTTTTCCTATAAAAATTAAATAATCCGCAAACACTATGTACCATGGTTACTCGATTAGTATTTTGTTCGTAACTTCAACCGTTACAATAGAAAAAAGGCAATGGCTCAAGGCTCACCCCTGATGCACACCTACCAATCTACTCCATTAACCAATAATTATTAAGTTATTAATACTAAAATCACATTTATATTAATTTAGTAACATGTAAGTTAACATTGACGAGAAATAGCCGGTATCGAATAATTTATGTATATTTTTTTATTTGTAACCACTTAAAAATACAATGCAACTATAATTTAAATTAATTATTTGTAATTTAATCATTATAATATATTTATCTAATATAAAAACATGCATCTTTCTTTTTACTGTTATATTTTTTGTCACATTTAATAGCGTCTTCTGAACAAAATAACCTAAACTAAACTCAGGAATTGGTCATTTTATAAGCGAATTGAAGTGGTACTTACAATAGTTGGATTGAACTATTTCTATATGAATTCCACCACATTTTTGTGGAAGGGGTGGTTTTCGAAATTCGAACGCGTATAGGCGACAGACACAGATCCCCGAAATGTAGCCAGGGGAATGAAATTTCGTACACGCGTAGTGTTTAGAGCTCGTCGCATCCCAGTCCGCTTCTGGTTGAATTAATGCTCTACGGCTTTTCGGTATCCTTTGAAAACGAGATATCCGATTATTGACTGCTGTGTGCGGAAACAAGTGTGCACTCGATGGGTGCGTGTAATATTGCAAATCGATCGGACCGCGTAAAGCGGGCGGATAATGCAACGCGCCGTTCCGCGACACGACTCGAGCCAAGCCAAAGAAAAGCGTGGAAAAAAAAAAAACAACGAAACAAACAAACAAACGTAATAATATTATACGCGTTTTTATGGTACAGGAACCGTCGTACAGTCGCGCGACGGTCGACGATTTGCGACCGGTGCTGGACTTGTTGTTGTGGCCAGCGTCGCGCCGGTGGTGGTACGTGTGTACGGTCGCATGGGCGCCAAAGGGTGACAACGATAATTATTATCGCTTGACTTGACCCTACGGGGAGTATTTTCGACGACGACCGGCGGCGGCGGCGGTGACGGACGCGGGTAAAACCGTAGCGGAATGGGGAAAAAAAAAAACAAAATGCGGAAAAAAATAACCGATAGTAAAAATAATACAGACTAACGACGACCACAACGACGACGATGACGGCGATCGATGAGCGAGTAAATATTATAGTGCGGGTACAATGTACTAGCGTACGGCAGTACGGAATAAAACTATACACTGTCCGTGCCAGGGGTCGGCAATTAGTTTCCGAGGGAGGCCGGACGGTTTGAAAACAAATTTTCGAGCGGGTCGAATATTTTCGGAATTGAGCAAAAAAAAAAATAATAAAAAAATGGATCTTATCTTACAACTCCAGAAAAAAACATAGATTCGTAAGTTGATAAATGTATTTGTTTTTGTACTAAAGACACAATTATTATATAATATTATTCGATTATTTTATAGAATAAAGTATTTATACAGTTTCATAATAATATACAAATACACCAGCCAAGTAATAAAATGTCATACATAGAGATTGCGTTCGGACGTTCGGATGTCCTGGATCTACGCAGAGACAAATAATGAAAACAAAGTGAAACGATTTTTGGCGATCCGTTTATTTCCTCTACACGAGCCCGCGGGCTGCCCATTGCCTACCACTGTTCTACACTATTAATGGGTGTGTTCACGGCGGTCGAAATATCCTCCTGTTCGCCGGGTATGTTTGTTTTATTATCATTGATGTTTTTTTTTTTTTTTTTTTTTTTTTAATAGATAGGTATCGATAACGATACAAACGATACCTCATTGTAAGCTACAGCGACGCCAGACGGACGAATGTTGCCGTCGTGCTTCTCATAAGATCTTATGAGAGACCGTTCGCGGAAAGCGTCGATTGTAAATCGTTTTAGATTCTGAGCGGAAACTGTTTTTGTATTACAATGAAACATGCTTGTTTATCATGCTTCGATCGAAACATGACGAGTGGATTTTTTTTTAAACATTTTGGATCTAGTCGAGGCGTTGAAGAGATCGTGTTTTTGATTCTATAAATTACATTATACCCGGGAAAAACAAGAAAAAACAGACAAATTTACGGCGATAGCAGTTTTATTATTATTGATGATATTTTGTATTTTTTTTTTTTTTTTTATTATTGATTTGGTTAAACATGATAATAGAAAACTGAAACGTTCACAGAATAATAATGTTGGATTTTCTTATACGTGTTCAAATCTTCAAAACATTCTGGCGAATTTTCAATTATTTTTAGGCATTCGACATTTTCGAGTATTAATTAGGTTTTTTGTGGATAAAATTGATTTGGCCGAGCAAAAATAGTTGAAAATTTAAAACAGAATTTGTTTTATATTGTACTTAATGTTTGGAAAAAAAAAGTTGTCTAAAGTTTTTTTCGTACGCGTTTTGAGTTCAAATTTTTTAAAAATCGTAACATTATAATATATACTTAACCGATCTTTGTTCAGAACCATATTTTGATAGCAACGATTCATCGTCGCGTGTATAAACAATAACTTTATGTATCCTATCTTCCCAAATTCTATCTTCTCGTCTCAAACACTCAACAATATTATTAGGTTGTTTCGTTGGTTTTTTTTTTTATATTCGATTGCTGCAAATGCTGACGACTCGTATTCCGGAGGTACAACGTCACCTACAGGCGATAGGAAGTATAGAAATCACCGGACGAACCGGTGGAAAAATATCGAAAACTAAATTTATTATTCTTTGCCATATAATCGTAATAATATTATAAAACGTTTAAAAACACATTTCGGTAGCAGCTATATCAAAAATACCAATAATCATTACCCTATTACTATTTATTAGGAGGAGAAGACATGCGCTCCCTTTGGATTCTTTATAAAGTGTGCTGGATTTTTTTAGCGCTATTAATATTAATTTTTTTTTTTCAATCGGTTTATCTTCGAAGGAGATATCGATTTGGGGAAAAATTAAAAAATGTTTTCATCCTTTAAACACAAAAAAAAAAATAACTTTATTCATTCATTTAAGAAAATTTTCAAAATAAACATTTTGTACAAATACCATTCTCAAAACTTTAAAGTATTATACATTCATATCTGATTAATAAAGTTTCTTACAAATAGCCGTCTTAATTTCCATAAAATAGCCGTGAAACTAATTAATATTCGATAGAAGGTAAAGAATTATCGTGCTGATTGTAATTCCTTATCGCAAACAGGTTTATTTTATTGAATATCAATTGTTTTCACGCCTAATTAAAACGGCTATAACTAAGAAATTATTTACTGGATATGAATGTGTGATATATTAAAATTGTTTAAATACTTTTTATAAAATTGCTATTTCGATTATATTATCAATTTTATTATACTATGAAATTATATTTCTAAAGTGAATAAATAAAGTTATTTTAGATCCTGAGTGGAGCGAAGAAGCTTATGGTTTGACAAAGGTGATTATTTTTTTTTTTCCTGTAGACAACTTTTCAACCAGTAATTTCGCTCCGATTTTAAAAAAAAATACGATTTTTCTAAAGGGAAATTTCACTGTGAAGGCACTTTAGAAAGGTCGTTTTTCGATGTTCTCCATTGGTTTCTCAAAAATACGAAAAACTGAGAAAAAACACGGGGAAACCAGATAAAACGTAAGAAAACCGGAGAAATCGGTACAACATTTAACAAATATTGCTACAGAAAATTTTTGGAACCCATTTAATTATTTTACTATAATATGGCATATGTATTGTTTACAAAGAATCACTATCCACTTGACTCTGCTCAGAATCGATATTTCGTAAGCAGCGGTTTATCGTTGCTTTTACGGGTATAAATTAAATTGCCCTATAACAGTGACCGCTCTCGTCCCCATTTATCCTAGGTGGTCTTCGTTTTTCTTTTTATTTCTATTTTTTTTTTTTTGTCTTCGGGGGATGAAAATAAAAATGTAATTTTTCCCCGAAAACCGTGTCCGCCTCGAAGACAAACGAATTGAAAAAAAAAGCAATCGGAAAAAAAAAAAAATTGAACATTAACGGCTTGACGAAAACCGCGTCGAACCGCACCGGGGGACACACTGTATACAATATACGTACATAACATAGAACGCGTTTTTCAACGTCTCTCGGACGCCCTCTCCCCCTACCCGCTCCCGCCGCCAAAACCGTTGAAAATTCCCGCGCGGCGCGCACCCCCCCACCCCCCTCCCCCCACCCCGCTGTTGTCGCAATATAGCGACCGCGTTTGTCTACGACAGCGCGCAAAATTGTACCGTCGCACCGTAACACGTTTATTATCACAGTCGCGCGTTGTTATTTTTCGAATATATTATTAATATATCAATAATAACGCGGTAAACCCGCCGTCGTAATGGCCGTAACGCATTAGCGCGGATTGGTTACCGTGCCCGGCGCATCGGCGCACCAGGAATTGCATAAACGGGACGCCGTCCCCGAAGAAAAACCGACGGTACAACTGCGTACGGTTATTATGATAACGCAACAATAAAATGTTATGTTACGGCGTTATTAGGACGGACGCGCGTACGGTTTTGAGAACCTTCAAACGCTGTTTCGCAGATATGCGTCGAAAATTCCGAAATGTTGTTTAAAAAAAAAAAAAAAAAAAATTAAAAAAAATACACGTGATATAACACATGTGTAAAATAATAAAATAATGATAAAAAAAAAAAAAAAAACGTATAAAGTTGAAAATTTACGAAATCCTTTAACATGCTCTAAAAAATATATGCCCGACAAGTCAAAAAACTCGTTTAAAGCCCTAAAGAACCGGCTGAAAAATAACTTAAAATCATAAAATAAAAAACGTATTATTATTTATCATGTGTTACATTGAATAATCAATATTTATACAAATGATAGATTTGTTATAATCACTTTGTATTAGTTGTTAGGTTGACAAAAATATAAAAATAATAATAATACTAATTATAAAAATATGATCGTTTAATGAACTATCTTCAACTTAATAATAATATGAATTGACATATCCAGTTTGTAATTATTCGCATACAATTTTCGTTAACGTTACCGGTACATTATTTGTTTTACATTTAAAAACGGAATACACGGAAAACCGAGACGATGTTTTGAAAAAAGGGAAATAAACGCCTGTAAAGTGAATGGTGTTAACTAAAAAGTTATTGATAACAACACAAGCAAAAAGATAATTATTATGATAACTCCTTGGAAAATCAAAAAATGATCTCCCCAACGCACCGACTATATGAAATTCGCACACACCTTCAGCCGGATCTGGGTGGGCCAATGTTGTAGGTGTGAAGTGGCGAAGGTAGAGGAAAATGTATCGTATGTCTCGTATACGCAACGATCAACAATTGTTGACGAAAAATCATTCTGAACAGAGTTCGGTTAATTGTGTTGCTTTGTCAACTTTATATATATATATATACATATACATATACATGTCATCATATTAGGCTAAAGAAATAACGTATGCACTTTATATTTTCTTTAATAATATTTGCGTGTTTTTTTGGGAAAATAAAAAATTACTTCCTTTAGGTACCACCCCGGTCAAATTATATTTTATAAAAAAAAGTGCTACGATTGAAAATCGGAGCAAAATCTCTGGCTGGAAAGCTGTCTCTCAGAAAAAACAACAAACATCGTTAAAAAAAAAACCCAAGGCGTTCGTCGTTCCGCTCAGAATCTAAAATGCAAAAAACACACGCACCGAGGTAAAACCAATATGGATCTCTCGTTACGCACCATTCACAACGCGCACCAACTAGATCGTAAACGCTCCTGTAAACTCCTCGATTGGAACGAGATTTCGGTTATAAAAACAACGACAAAGTAAAAAAAAATTAATAAAAAATAGCCTCCCTCCCGCCGTTTCGTAACAAAACCAATACGTCCCCCCCGGCTTCGCCGGGATATTTATATTTTTTTTTCACATCTAATCCGTTACAAATAAATTCACACCCCTATTATAATATAGTTGTTATACTCGGTCGTAAGCCGCGCATAATGTCAAAACGTGTCGGCGAAATGTATTGTGCCCGCGTATATAAAAGGATTTATTTTATTATTGACGGCGGGCGACACACGGCCGAGGCCTACGACGACGGTTTCGGCGGCTGCGGCGGCGGCGGCGGCGGCCGTCCCCGAGACTGTAATAATATAACCGGTGTAACGAGTGGGTTAGGGGCGGTCGGCCGGGCGCGTAAAAATTGGACGGTCCCGGCGCTGGCGGCGGGCGGGGGTAGGGGTGGCGGGCGGTCAGAGATTTGCCGGGTTTCCGCGGCGGCGGGGGCGGTCGCCTAGAATGTATAATAATATTATTGTTATTAACGGGGGGGG